CGGTTCAACTGCCGGAAATCGACTCGGGCAGATCTTCGAGTCACTGGATAATCGGTTCAACCGCCGGGTCACCGGGCCAATTGCTGAACAGGATAATTAATTTTAAGAAATTTTAAATTATATATATAGTATTTTTACATATAAATATACATAAAAGTAACAAAAATACATGTTTTGTATATAAAATTTGTACATTAAAGTGTTAAAAAAGTGTATCTCACAATAAATATTTAATATATATATATATATATAGACCGGGTCAATGACCCGGGTCCACCGGGTTTGACCGGGTCCATTGTCATCCGGTCAAAATAGTTCACCCGGACCAGTTCCAGTTCCGAGTCGACCGGCCAGTCCGGTCCGGGTTGAAAAACAATGCTATTTTGTAACTTAAATGTAGATTTTTTTTTTTTCGAAACGACAAATAATATTATAAATTAAAATACAAAAATGTGTGAATACACAACCCTTAGCTGAATGGAGCAACCAACAGCTAAAAAATGGGTAGACATGTCTGAAGACCGTCTAGAATCCCTAACTAGCAAAGCTAGAATAACATCACTTGGAACTACACTAAACCAACTACACAAACAACAACGGAAACTACTAAAAAAAAATCCCACCAGGATAATACCCGAGTGTCCAATCCCAGCAAGATAATAAGTTAACACTCGGGCACACAAAGGCTGACGATCCAAACAAAAAATATAGACCTAAACAACAACACAAACACAGACGACACAAAACATCAGAAAACAAAAACAAAAACCAACATTCACATTCCTTCCTCAACAAACAAACGGGTCCAACCAGTAGAGAACCAATCGAATCCAAGAAAGATCCCAAGCCCGAGGCACTACTCCGGAAACTATCGAACCACCTATACAAAAGCCAACCACTGACCCCCGAACTTGACCCTAGCGGATCCACCTCCAAGCGAATGAACAACAAGACAGCTCCCCGCACCAACACCTCCCGAACTAGCCTAACACCACTATCCAGGCTAAGGAGATCCTTACCCTTCCCGTTCCCAACACCAGAGAACCAGAAGGGAGAGAGCTACTCGGTCCCCAACTCCGACTACCCCGTCAAAGGACGACGAAGCTGCTAGAGCCCCGTCCCACCCCCGAAGAACCGCACTCCTTCCCACACCACAGAAGGCCGCGGTGACCAAAGTCCAAAAGCCCCACAAGAAGCTCCACCAGAAAGGAGGAGCCGACTGCGTGTCCAGAGTAGATCGTGGGCCTAACCATCATCAATAGAAGACCCACCAGCAGATGAGACACCAATCATTGACCAAACAAAGATCGGGGCTCACCACTACCAGGCCTGCCAACATTCGAGGTCAGACCACCAATTCCAGGCAACCACAGCGACATCGGAGGCGTACCGGGTGGGCCGAGCGGTCAAGGTGACCACTGGCTGGAGGTCGCCGTTGCCAGGGAAGGCAAGACGAAAGAACAATTGAAGAAGACGACTCGGCGGATTTTGGGGGATAAGGGTTCTTGAAGAAAAGGTCGCCCATATATAGATTAAAATATATAAAAAAAATAAGTTATCAATATTATTCAACATTATCGGTTGTATTTATTATTGAACTACAAAATTAATAATAAAAATATATACAATTATATTATATCCATATAAATTAAATAAAATATTGTATATTAATTAAATCAGTTCGACCAATTCGACCACTGATCTGACCAGTGGACTATTTAATCAGTAGGTACTGGTTCGGTTTTCAAAACCCTGCTTCTGACAATTAGGACAACGATAACATATATTTCAATTTGAGGATGATGAGTTAAGTTATAATTTTAAAAATAAAAATAAAAATAAAAAAAAAAAGAAAAAAAAGTTAAGAGTTATAATTCATGACATCACATTATCCCACCCAAAAGATATTCCACCCCAAGAAAGTACTCCAACCAGCACAAGACCGGTTATAAACTCAAAGCTTCATCCAATCCTAGCCAACAGGTGAGACTAGAGTCTCCACATATGTGATAGCCCCAAAACCAGAATTGGGATAGGTGTATGAATTCTTCATACTGAAAACTCGGTTACGAGGATCGTACACCTCTAGTTTCCGTTGTTCCACCTCCATCACGACATGATCGCCATGAGTCACGCCCAACGGCCTTACGCCAAAATCACTCGAGCAAGCAACGTACGGATACAACTTTGTCCAAGATTCTTGTTTCCCGTATCTTTCCATCACCCAAACATCGGCAAACCCCCTCTTGTAGTGAATCAAGCACAACATTCCCTTGTGGGCCTTCAATTCAAGAACCGTAACATCATCCGCCCATTCAGGCTTGGGCACTTCTTCAAATTTTTCGTACAACATATCATAGCATATGATCACGCAGCCGGAGTCTAACTCATGGGACACGAGCCAGTGAGGAGTCCCATTTACATTGGCCGCCTGTTGATTCCTCGTGATGTAGTACAAAAACCCACCGGTTTGGTTGATCGTCGTCCATGTACTGCAGTCATGAATAGTGAATATTGTTTCTTCTCGTGAGTTGCCGAATTGGGAGGCGGAAATGATTTTGTATGTGTCGGTTGTTGCATTGTAGGCAATTCCATATAATCTGCATTAACCATAAACGGTGCAACTTTTTGTTGTTATAACGACGAACATTAATCTCATCGCTAATTAAAACAACTTGTCGTCGCAAAATAATCAATTTCTATAAAAGGATATTTATTTGCGACGAAGTTCGCGGGCGTGCGCCCAAAATTAAAATGTATATGAGAAAGATTTGATCGATAAATGGAACATCTTATACAATAGAGGAAATTAAGTCATATGTTACATTCTGCAAAACATTTAAAAAAAATTTGTATAATTTACGGATAGTTCAGATTCTCTTAGCTACCTGCAGTAAGAACCGATGGACATGTTTTGGTGAAGACCCAAAAACTCCCTAAACGCTCCCGTTGAAGGGTTCCATAGGACATAAGTCCTAAGATCCTTAATTAAAAGCAACAGTCCATTACATGAAGCCAAAACCTCTAAAGATAAGCCTGCAACTCCAAAAGGAAGAGAAAGTGGTAATCTGTCGAAACTACTAAAATCCAAGTATTTAGAGAAGACCTGCCGCTTGGAGAAACGAAACTCAAGATACATGAATTTGTGAAACCTAAAGTTTTTGGTTTCCCGAGCATGACGAAGGTGTTCTCTCACAAACTCCCGGCTCGAAATCCATTCCCTCCATTGTCTACAAACGGCCTTAAATCGACACAAAGACTTAACAGGTGATTTCTTAAGGATTATGTAAATGATTTCTGGTGGAAGCGAATTTTTTTCCCTTTTGTTCGACATTCCATATACCAGCGACTGATTATCTCGTATAAATGATGAACAAAACAGGTGAATTAAGAAGCTTATATTGACATTTAGTATAACCGGCTTTTCATTTTTTGTGTAAATCTTATTAATAGATTTTGCAATTATGTTGTCAACATAATCTTGTTATCATGTTATGTTTATTGTATCACAGAAGATTAAATGAGATACTTTGAAAGGAAAATGCAGAAATGGTAAAGCAATTTTTTTTTTCCAGTGATATTATTTAATATAATTTGATTTCATGGATTATGGCTTGCATACAAAATGTGCACTGGATTTTTGTTGAAAGATTACCAGACTGCCAATTATGCATTAATACTTATGTAATATACATATTAAGTAAAAATTGACAGGCAGCATTTGAATTAAACTTACTCCTTTGCACAAGATGTCATAAATACCGACTGAATTAAGAATGAACTAATTTAAACAGGTACCGATATGATTTCATTTTCACGGCACGAGCGCGGCCTTAAGTAAGACCCGTAACGTGTTGTACGCTCCATAGCGTGTCGTAAGCTCGTTAAATTTGAAACAATTTCACAGTAATAGGATATCGTCATATGTAATAAACGGAAGCTCACGGAAAAACGCATGATATATTCATATTAATGACGACAAACAACACACAAAATATATCAATCCAAACAGTAGTAAAAACATGGTGTAGAATAATAGTCTTATTATTATTAATGAGATCGCCATCTCAAGAACACCAGAATAATATATCAATTCATATTTTTCATTCAATCATCAACTGAAGATAACAAAAGAGGAGAGTCCTTTAAATAAGGTTCTCATAAATCCTACTCCTTGACTTGTCCACCAAACCAAGATAAATAAAAACAACTAATAATAATAATAATAATAATAATAATAATAATAAAACTATTATTCCACACCACAACCTAAACTACATTAAAACCGCTCTAATCTTTTCATTTTTTGGATTCATTCTATTGAAAAAAATATACTCAGTATCCTATGTTGTACATGTAAGCAAGTTCACTTAAGTCATGGGAGGTACTTGGGAACTTTTGACAGCAAAATTCTGACATCCTCATGTTGTCATCCATGATCGACGCCACAAAATATCTTCATAAAGTTATCGACCCGCAAAATTTTTAATCAAAATCCGTCATCGGCATTTAAATCGGACCGCTTTTGTTCCTAGTGAAGATGACAATGGCAGAACGAGGGCTGGTGAGTTGGACGAAACACACCTGAAAAAAACCACTTTACATGGAAAAAATTTTGTTACATATCTGGTACGGGGGTTAATAAAAATAAATATTGATGTGCTTTTGCACACTGGACCGGCTCTCCTTGGACCCAATCGCTTGAGCTCTCCAAATATCTGCAAAGACGCCGGGAAGTGTTCCCGCCGGTAAACTTCCGACGCTCAAGTTAGTGGGGTACCGAAGAGAGTTCAGTTTTTGTATTAGGGTTTCTTATGCGGTAAAAAATATCATACCTCTCCCTTGTAACCTGCACTACGTAGATACTTGGCTTCCTCTCCACGTCTGTCCCCTTATCCGATTATGTAACAATTATCAGGCCCATTTAAACATCAGCCTACCTATTCAATATGTCTGACCCACTCTTTTAGCCGATATTTGGGCCGCACACTGGCAGATTATTATATCTGATCAACCGACCGGCCCGCATGAATACCCCCGGTTCATAAATCACGTTGACTTCTGCAGGTCTACCCATAATGCTCTCTTTGTGCTACATCATCTAGCCCCCCCATTATCAAACAAGCTATTTTCATAAATAGACTGATTTGATAATTATTATCCTCATACGCTTGCCCGAGCAATGCGTATATTATGCCATATCGGACTATCAAATCGGCCCCCACCCAATCCTCCTGCAACATTTCGCGACCGGATGAGTCAAGTTTCTAGCCATGTTACCGAACAGATGAATGCACCCAGCTACACGGGTCATCCACCACCAAATATGGGCAGACACAAAGCGCCCCACAATACGGCTCACTTGCCCCCCCAACCCGACCATATGCGCACATTCTGGCAGAACCTCTGAGCAAAGATAAAATCACAACTTTGTCACAAAAGCCGAGCAGAACAAATCGTATATTCGGGCCGGAAAAAATCAGTCCCTTCGCCCTAAAAATCCGAGCAAAAAAACAATCAATCAATGTGCTCCAAAAACCGGAGCAAAGAAACAATCATTCATTGTGCTCCAAAAGTCGGGGCAGAAAAATTCCCTCGTGCTCTAAAAACCGGAGCAGAAAAATCATTCCTTGTGCTCCCAAAACCGGAGCAGAAAAAATGTCTTATTTCGTCCCAAAATCCGAACAGAATAACCACGTTTTTTTCCCCGAAGTCTAAGCCGAAAAACTCATGCACTTTACCCCCAAAGACCAAGCATAAAAAATCACGCACTTGGCTCCCAAAGTCTGCGCAGAAAAAATCACGCACTTGGCCCCCAAAGCCCGCGCAGAAAAAATCACGCACTTGGCCCCCAAAGTCCGCGCAGAAAAAATCACGCACTTGGCTCCCAAAGTCAGCGCAGAAAAAATCACGTGTGTTG